CCTGCTGAAGTCATTGAAATTTGGTGCTTCTCTGGAGAATGCTCAAGGCCCAGCTGTGACTGTTGTAATAGAAAAAGAACTTTTGTTTTGCAGATGGTTCTCCTTGCTGTCATAAAGCATGCTTCTGTTTTCTAGATCATTGCAGCCCAAGAAGAAATGCTGAAGAAGGAAAGAGAGCTAGAAGAGGCAAGGAAAAAACTGGCTCAGATCCGCCAACAGCAATACAAATTTCTACCCACAGAGTTGAGAGAAGATGAGGGTTAACCTGCTGTGATTTTGTCGTCTTTTTTCTTCTTTTTTGTTTTTTTCCTTTTAAAGAAATAAGCTAAAGGGGGACAGTACAGTGAGAACTGCTTTGACAACATTCTGGTATGCCAAGCACTTACCTAAATAAATTGCCTGTTATAGCTTTGAATGAGCAGAGGGCAATAAATACTTGTTCTTATCTGGTCAGCTGAGGTGCATGACGATCAAATAATGGTACAGTGTTAGGTTCATCATTCCTGTTCCTTCCTTGACTTACATCTCAGGAGAGAATGTTTCACTTTTTACTAAAGATACTGTCAGTATTATTGTCACTTTTCCTGATGCTTGAGATATTTATCATTCCTTGACTTGTTCAAAATATTAAACATTCAAAATATTATTAGGAAAACAGTCAAGAAATCTTTTGTATGATAAATATCACACGAGCTGGTGGTTCTCCTCCTACTACCCTTGTAAAAAGACCAAGCTGAGAAGGATGTATGCCTGAGTGGAGAAACATGCATGAGTGTGGGTTTGAAGAAGATGCCTGTCCTCTTCAGTGTTATATAGCTGATTCACCCCAAAACTGGAGGAATTGTCTCTGCACCTGTTTGCACTAGTAGTATTACTCCTTACCTGATACCAACAAGCTTCTGCTTGTACAATATTTAGGTTTACAAAATGTGGCAATAGCCATTCTTTAAAGAGCTCAGAAAACAAAGAAATTGAAACCTTGTCACTGCCTCAGTAATAGCAGGTTCATGAAGGAAAATGCTGTTTCAATTATATACCTCTAATGTGTGACTACTTCTACAGTATTATACACACATACACATGCTCTAACATTGGACTGAGTAGTTTGCATTTTGTTTTCTAATTGAAGTATCTGGTTCGTACTGTGGGATTTCTGTTAGAATGTATGCTAGTTAAAAAAGGGAAATGCCCAGTACAACAAAAGACTATCACAACTCCTGTTATTCTTTTAATAATTTCATGTGTAACTATTTTGTTTTGAAACCTGTGAGTATTGTAGGACAGAAGAATAAGTGATTTACAAGTAGACTTTTCCTGTAATATATTTTTTAAAACTCTGGACTCCAGGGAGTTATTTTCGTAGTTGATATTGATGAAAATGTACTCACCAAGGAATGGCAGAGAAGGAATAGCAGCAATCTATCAGCAGGCTGTGTCTTCAGCTGCAGAAAGGTACAGTATGTTCTCCATATCTCTGTTGTGGCCTGAACAATAGCAATGTGGGTAAAGTCAGTAATACATTTTACCCTGTCAAAGAAAGAATACCAATCACAGCATCTTTAAATAGCAAAAGCTAAACTATTTGACTAACTACAGAAACACCATCTCTCCTGACAACAATTGCCAGCCATGCCTTCAACTCCACTCAAGCCCTCATAATAATGTCATGTCTATTTAGGTCAGAGGATGTTGCCACACCAGTCCTTCTGAAGGCCATGCTGTCATTTAGATACCTGCCAAGTACATTCAGCTGAGCCTGTTATGTTATATGCATACCCACCTAGTTGTCATTGTTGTAGAAATACTTGTCTTGTAGACTCAAAAGTAACCCCCCTAGTGGTAGGTTTACCAGTTTAGATAGTGCTAACTCCTCATTTAAGTTACTTGCATGAGATATAACTATCAGGAATTTTGTCACACTAGTGTTAAATATATAGCAAAAAATGACTAGAGAATTAATAAAAAAGTGTACAAAGATTTTTATTGTCTCTTCTCTGGTACTGACAAGTAGAGTTGCTGGAGAATCCACAATCATGAGAGGAAAAAATTGGCAAATCCCAAATGGAATAATCACTGGTATTGACAGATGTGCTGTGATGTGTAGGCTCGTGTGCATATGCAAACCCTTACTGTCAGAGACATGCCATTCCGAGTTCTGGAATTTTCTACTTCAGCACAATTGATTTGTTTTCAATCACCTCACTGTGAGCAGTGTCACACAATCTTGATGTTAAGAATCCCTACACCTAAAAAAAAAAAAGGCTTCCTATAATTTTTAGGCAGAAGCCTAAACTGGTATTTATTGCTCTAAGACCTAAATAAAGGCAGCTCTATTGACAGGAATTTTCTGCTGCTGTTGGTAGGTTCAGCTTTATTGCAGCTTATGGCTCTTTCTCTTTTTTTTTTTTCTGGATTGGCCCTCACATTCTCATCTCTTTTTTTGGACAGATCTGCAAGACAGATTTGTTACCACTTTCCTCTTAACCTAAGTTTAAGTTATTATTTGGTCTCATTGAAGCATGAAGAAAGATGATGCTGTCCTTAGCACCGTGCCAATATTTTATTGTAGGTATAATACTGTTGTAATATATTTTGATCAGGATGGTATTTCCCAGTTTGAAAGAAGCCAAAAGCCTGGTTAAATGCAATTGTCTGGAAATTGTATAGCTAGAAAACTTGGAGTATGTAGAAGGAAAGAGCATGCTCAAATTGTTCTCCAGATCAATTTGTTTGGGAAGTGCATTTTAGCACAGTTATTCTGAGACCTCCCTTATTTCTGATTTAAGGCCCTCTGTTATTTGACAGAAGGTATTCTTTTTTCTCCTTAGTTTTGTGTGTGGGGAAACACAGTCAAATGAATAGCTGAGCTGAACAACTGAAGTATTTTTTTACTCTGAACTTCGGGTCTTCATTTTGGAAACATTAAGATGATACAAGCTCATCTAAAGTCTTTCTATTTGAATATTTTTTTCTTGCTGTTACAATTTGCAGTACCACCGAAGTCCACATGTGATTGTCTGTGGAGTTTGGAACTAGTCTATGCGTTTATTTGGCATGGAGATTTGCAGCAGGAAGTGAAAAGTTGGAGTAAGTGATGGAAGGTAGTTAATAAGAAGGACAGATGTTTACTTTGTTCTGTTAACTTGTGAAATGATAAATGAGCTCTGTTGTATCTCACCCTTCTTCATGTGGAATTTGCTTTAAGGAACTGTATGCAAATTAAAAGCAAAATGCCTCAAAGTTGTTTGTGTAAATATAGTCTAGTGTTGTTTCCCCAGCTGTTCAGAAAAGAATTTGTCTAAAGTATTCTACATCAGAAGCCTCAAAGTAAGAAAAGTCTTGAAACAAAAATTTAAGAATACACTGGGTTTTTTGCCTGTCCTTTTCCCGTAACTCTGGTTTAGGATTTATTTTGGTGCCTTATGTTTGCTTAAAGTTTTTTCCTTATGTAACTGCATCATTATTGATACGAGTTAATCTGCCTATAAATGTCACAATTCTAAAACTTGTTTTCCTGTATTCATAGTAATTTACATTAAATGTATTGTGGTTGTTCATGTTATTGGAACAATACATTTCTGGGGCACAAAATTTATTATGCCAAATGTGGAAATTGGTCATGTGTGTTGCAAGTTTGTTCCAAATTGCTTTTTTGCCTGACTATAGTACCTGCAAGGAAGTCTGATAAATTGGTTAGGAGGTGGACAAATGCATCGACTGGCTATGGCTCATGCAGCAGACTTATATTTTTCTCTCAAATTAGTATTTCATTGCAGTAGAAGAACCTTCTGTTCAAGATAATTTTGTAATTATATGCTGGAGTTTCTAGGGGGTTGAACTCTCACTTTAATGTCTTCCCTTCCCCACAAAGGAGTTTGCAGTGATGCTGCCACACCACATTACTTTTTTTTTTCTTCACCAACAATAACCCCTTGAAGGAATTTTGTTTTTTCTGCATATAGGTATTTGTGACTTACTGGTTGTAATACAAAGGATAGTTTTACTCCTTAAGAAAAATAAAGCAGAAATTTTATTTATCTGCAGGACTGGGGAAAGGCAGAATTCCCAGGTGACAGAGGAGAATGTACTATTTAAAGCTCTGCTGCAAAGAATGAAGCTGTGAATCCTTACTTTGATATATGTCAGTGAGTGCTCAATATCCTTAAAGCTGGTGTTAGCCACACATAAATATATACAAAAATCAAACACCTGTTATTCAAGGGTGTTAGATTCTTGGTGTTGTTGGGTTTTTTGTGGAAAGTCTAGTTTTCCTTTTATGTATGTTACGATTTCCATTTCATGCAACATTTTTCATGTCAAATATAACTGTGTATTTACAGCTGGACTACTTCAATTCTCCATATGAAATCTGTGCCAGAAATCTTCGCGCTGTACATTTAAATTGGGGCTACAGTGTCCCAAGGCATCTTTTAGGCCAAAATCTTTAAAATATCTATTACAAGATTTTAAATTGGATATTTAAAATTACTAGAGTTGCTGTCCTTATTTTTTATGCAGTGCAATTTGCATTTGTGTTGAAAGCATTTTAGGCAAAACTTTAGAGACTCTGGGGAAATTAATTCTTTGTGCTTGCACGGTAACTCCTAAAGAGTTGGAAACCCAAGCATGTTTGACATGTTTGGGTCTCTTTTGACCTTGTCTTTTTTACAAGTTCCTTTGCTTGTCCCTTCCTCTTCTGTTCTGAGCTTTTAAGAGAGCTGATCTCTTTCTTCCTTGACCATCTTTTAACAATACATACACTGAAGTCTTCCACCTGTGCAAATCAGTCAGTTATGTCTACTGTGGCAGCTGAAATACTGGTATGTCGGGTTTACCCATGCTGAATTTGGATTATGTAAAGGTTATATAACAAATATTATTTTATTGCCCTACTGGTTTTCTTTAAGTATTTATATATGTTTGTTTTTAAAATGGACACTAGGGGCTAGTAACTTCTTAACATCCTAAAATGTACACTACAAATGTCCACTAAACCATGGGGTTTATCCTAGGTGAAGAGGCTTTCTTTTGGCATGTTTATCCGTAATTGATACTGTTACAAAGTCAAAATCTCTTTATTAAAAATATACATGGAATGTTAAATACAAAACTTTTGAAGATGACACAATCAAGTGTTGATTTAGGATTCTCAAGCATTTTGAAGTCTGTGGAAAAGGTCTTGCATTGGGACATTGAGAAAATGTTGCTGGCTATTTTCTTAATATAATTCTTGCTCTTAAAGTGCTGAATTTAATACTACTGTTTGGAATCTTCAATCCTACACAGATCAATATTCAGTGCCTTCTAGGCTTTTAGTACAATTCTTTAATTTTAAAATATTTGCCTGTACTATGCTCCTTGAATATGCTTCAAAATTGGTCATCTTTGTGGCTGTTTGTATTTTGTAAGGTGCAACTGACCAAGTAAAATTGTTAATATAGAGGTTTCTTCCAGCATTATACTTGATAATCTTTGCATTCAAATTGCATTGTATGTTTTAAGTTATTGATTAGGATATTGAACATAAATCATGGAACTTTTGACCTGGTTCAGTCTTGGAAGGAGTGGTCAAATT